GCCAATAGTATCCGTACCTTATGAGCTTAAAGGCCAGAGCTCGAGCTCCTTGATGATTATCGCATATTCCTTCATGGACATCTACCAGAACCTTTATTGATTCGGAGGGTCTGAGGCATCTGAGATATGGAAGTGTAAAACTCCTGCGGAAGAGGACTCCTTCAATGATACAGTATCTGGGTGCTCTAGATCGAACGTCCCTAGTTTCTTTTGGATCCTCTGGGAGGTTTCCATTAGCTATGAATTCAATTATGGGGTCCATCCAGGAGGGCTCATGATCAATGTCTATGACATTCATTTCCCGACCTATGCTAGGCTCTGTTACCATTTTGATGTACACAATTTTATCAAGTTTGTCTACTCCCATGAACACAAGTCTTGATAGTGCATTTGCCTTACAGTTGTCAACCCAGGCAATCTTCAGAATTTCGCAATCCTTGAATCGCCTCTGAAGATCATGCACTCTTAAATAGTATAAGCTCATCTTTTTGTCCTTCCTTTAGAATGCTCCTTCAATATGCCCTACTACAAGCTGCGAATCGCTAAAGAGCTTGATGTGTTCAATTCCTGAGCTATTAGCAAGTTCAAGAGCAATGACCACAGCCTCATATTCAACCTCGTTGTTTGTAGCTTCAAATTCGAATCTGAGTGAGCATTGAATTGCGGTTAGTTTGTCCGGGCTGATGATAATGATACCTGTACCCGAGCCCGAGGAGTTGGATATAATAAAGTCCTCTAGGACTTGTCCTTTGATAGAAGGTTGGGGTTTGAACTCTATATCAAATTTACCAAGTTCAACTGCCCACTTCAACAATCTTCCTGAAACGTCTGGCTTTTGAAGTATCTGTCTGAGTGGCTGGTCTATAAGCACTACAATGGGGTGTGACTGGAAATATTATCATAGCTTCTAAGCTGCCATAACCAGTGCAAGGGTAAGTTGTTCGCCAGCGTGTACCTTGTCTTCGCGTCCAACAATACCTTACTCACATAGTAGATGGGTTGTTGAGCTTTCTTCACCTCTTTTACTAGTACCCCGCTCACCGCATTTTGAGATACGGCCAGGTATAGGTATAACATGTCTCCAGGCTTGGGCTTTGTAAGGATTGGAGGAGTGGCCAAGGTCTGCTTGAGCTCCTAGAGAGCTCTTTCGCACTCCTCATTCCAACTGAAACTTTGATTGTCCCTAAGAGCTTTGAAGAACGGAAAACACCTATCGACTGCTCTAGACATAAACCTATTAAGGGAGGCAACCTGACCTGTCAACTTCTGAACCTCTTTCTTATTCCTAGGTAGTTCCGTGGATATTAAGGCTCGTATTTTATCTGGATTTGCCTCAATCCCCCTATGAGTGATCATGAATCCTAAGAACTTTCCCGATGCCACCCCAAAAGCACACTTTGCTGGGATCAACTTCATCTTATATCTTCGAATTGTTGAGAATACATCCTCTAGGCCGGTGATATGCTCATTCACCTGCTTACTCTTGACTACCATGTCATCGACATAGGCCTCGATACTTTTCTCAATCAGGTCAGCAAACACTTTGTTGATGAGCTTTTGATAAGTTGCCCCTGCATTCTTCAAATCAAATGGCATGACTTTATAGCAATATATGTCGAAGTCGGCTATAAATGACGTCTTCTCTTGATCTTCCTCAGCCATACGGATCTGGTGATAGCCCGAGAATGCATCAAGAAAGTTGTACAACTTGTGGCCCGATGTGTTGTCTACCAAGTTATCAATTCGAGGCAGGGGGTAACTATATTTTGGGCATGCCTTGTTGAGATCTGTGAAGTCAATACATACCCTCCACTTACCATTAGCCTTCTTGACGAGAACAACATTGGCAAGCCAATCTGGATATTGGACCTCCCTAATGAATTGAGCATTAATGAGCTTATTGATCTCTTCGCGTATTACCTCTCGTCTCTCCAGTGCAAATTGTCTCCTTCTCTGCTTTATTGGTCTAGCATGAGGTCTAACGTTCAGTTTATGAACCACGATATCGGGATCTATCCCGGGCATATCCTCAACCTTCCATGCGAATACATTCATGTTGTGGGACAAGCACTTTATGAGCTCATCCTTGAGAGTGGCGTCAAGATCCCGGTCGATGGTTACTTTTTTACTATGCTCGAGGTTAAGCTCTACCAAATCTTCCACCAGGGCAAGTCTATCCTGGTGCTCATTGTTAACTACATGACATTAGTGCCCAAACCTTGAATGCTCGCAACATAACACTTCCTAGTCGTTGTGTGATCCCCACGTACAACTCCCTATACCATGACTTGTTGGAAACTTCATAGCAAAGTGTAGGGTAGATACTATGGCCCTAATCTTGTTGAGAAGTGGCCTTCCCAGAATGGCATTATATGCTACGGAGGTCCGGACCATATGGAAAGGCGTAATCTCTGCCACCTGCTTTTGGTCTGAGCCCAAAGTTAGTGAAACGTCAACAATTCCTTCCGGAGTAATTGTTCCACCCTCGAATCCCTGGAGCGGGGTCTTGACCATCTTGAGTTGGCTGGTAGAAATCCCCATCTTCTCATAGGCGTCATGGGACAATACATTTGTTGCACTTTCATTGTCTACGAGTATCCTCTTGACTTCAAAGTTGGCTATTATGGCGGATATGACCAAGGCATCATCATGAGGAAACATTATGCCTTCAAAATCCTTTGACCCGAAGGTAATGTCTTCCATATCGTAAAGAGTGGTCTCCCGAGCCGATCCATACTGTCGAGCATATTGCTTCCTTCCACTGTTTAAGTCTCCTCCCAACGCTATTCCTCCAACTATAATATTGATCATCCCGACCGTAGGCTTGTTACCTACTCCTGAGCCCGAAGTCCTACCCTTGTTGTGATCATTCCTTAGACGCTTGTCGTTCCCGACGTATGTCTTCAAAAGTCCCCTTTTTATCAATGTCTCAATCTCTCGCTGCAACATTATACACTCTTCCATCATGTGCCCATGATCCTTGTAAAAGTCACAGTATTTGCTCTTGTCTCTGGTCTCCGGGGGAGATCACAACCTAGGAGGCCATTTGAGTTCTTTCATGTCCCTTATCTCAATCAGTATGTTGGACATAGAAGTGTTCAGACGAGTAAACGGCCTAGGCGGCCCTTCCTGCCTCTGCTTTCCCTGAGCATGATCCTGTTACAAGTTGGGCTTGTATGACCTCTTTAGTTGGGATTTCTCAATGCTCGGGGTAGCCTTCATTGCCTCCTCCATATTGATGTATTTTTCACCTCGGGTTGAGAGGTCTACCACTGATTTTAGGGGTGTCTAATATAAAGACATTCTGAAGGCCTCACACCTTACTGCATATGTTAGCGCCGAAATCGCTGCCGTATTGTGAAGGTTGGGTATCTGTAACCTTTCTTTGTTGAATCTCATCATGAAGTTATGTAAGGTCTCATTAGGTCTTTAGCGAAGCTGCATGAGGGTAGCCGTTGTCTTCCTGATGCGCTTCCTGCTTGCAAAGGAGGCGGAGAACTTATCAGCAAGGTCAGAGAAAGACGCTATAGAGTTAGGCTCCAATGTGGCGAATCAATCTCTGGCGACATTGGTCAATGTTTGAGGAAAGGCTTTGCACATTACTGGATCTGGTGCCACCTGTAAGTTCATGACGTCCGTGTAGACATTAAGATGGTCGATGGGGTTGGTGGTCCTGTCATACTCCTTCATGCGGGAAATTTAAACCTGTCCGGGAGGGGACATGAAAGAACTTCCGGCGTGAATGGAGTGTTAGGGATGAATCTCGTCACTTCCTTGCTATTCTGTTGTAGTCCTGTTGCGATCCCATCTTGTATGATCCGCGCAAGGCCGCCCGAGTCCATGGTCACCAATCTTGAGGCCGTGGCCACTGGAGGTATGCCCGAGGCCCCAGATCCACCGTTGTCATTTACGTCACGGGTATCCCGGGCTCGAGCATTGTTCACGAAACCTTCTAGTTGGGCTGGTATAGTATCTGTCGCCGGGGCCTGGGGAGTATCTCTTTGGCTTAGCAGTTGAGTCAGCGTTGCAACTTGCTGACGGAGTTCTTCGAATGCTCCAGCTGTAATCCTGTTGGTTGAGGAACCGGTATTGCTGATGACTCTCCTTGATGAGTCGGGGGCTCCGTGCCTGAGGGTTGGTTTGGAGCGGATGAGCTAGCAAGAGGAAGACCTAATCGTGTATTCACCATGACTTTTGGTAGCAAGTTCCAACAGACGGCGCCAATGATGCTACCAAAAATTGCATCTGGTCAATTCCGAGCTTGACGACTGATAACTTGCACGAACGCGATCTTTCGGTACCTGAAACAAAGGCGTTGAGGTGTGTCTTCATCGCCCCTCCTATACTTAAGTCAGAGAAAAAATATGTGCTAAAAATATATGTAAAAAGTGTACCTGAATCATGATCCCGGGTTCCATATTTATAGAGCTAGGTAGTGGTGGACTCTTAGTAGGACTCGTCATCCTATTTTTAGGAATGTCTTGTGGTAAGATTAATGTTGGGTTGAGGCTAGAAGTCTTAACTTACCATGCGTTCCAAGATAGAATTCTTATAGACCCAGGATTCTTAATTTACGGTAATTGGATAAGGTTAATGCACTTTGGGGATGAGGACTAGTAATGCTCGATTATGGAGCAGTTTGAGAATCTGGTTAAGGCAAAATCCCTAGCACTTACACCCGAGGATTACTGACGTGACTCTGGAGGCATCCTATATGGGTCCTTCGTCGGGTACCCCCGAGGACTATCAAGACCCGAGGACTTGGGTCCCACAACTGGAAGAGGTGACCCACAGGATTCCTCGTGCTCGAGGTATGTAATGTGACCATATCACATCCCAACAAAAGTTAAATCCTCTATATCAATCAAACATCATTTCCTATTGTTTCTTTATTATATTAAATCACTGTACTGCAACAAAGATATCACAAAACCAATACAATCCGTTTGTGAAAACGTTAATGCAAACCTTAACAAACAGTAAACGAAAATTGAAAGAAATCACACAAATCTGTTAAATGGCTTTCTCCCAACTGTTGCAGGCATAGAAACAGTTGAATCCACACTCATGTCTCGTATAGAATACAAAGGCTGTTGTTTTTCCAATGTCTTTTGAGAAGTAGAATCTTTGTTTGATCCTTTATTCCACTTGAAAGGCCCGATGTTTGGCGTCAAAGGAAACGAGAACCGCCTCTTTGAATCGTTGCCTGGAGTTCCCAGGATTCTCTCCTTTGGATTGCTGTTTGCTCGCACCTTAGCTTTAGCCGAGACAGTAGGAGCCATGTAACTCGGAGCAGAGAATGGAGGGCAACTTGTGAGGCTGTCATCATCTTTCAAAGGAACATCATAAGGCGAATTGGCCGCACTTGCTCTCTGTTTTGAATATTTCATACGAGTCGGGGTGTTTGCTACAGGTGGTGGTGTCCTACCCGGAGTGTGCATTTGTTTGGTTCTGACCGGGATTGCTGATTTTGATGACTTTGGCGTAAGAGATAGAGATTCATGACCGTCAAAACTGAAATTATTGTGCTTATAGTTGCCAGCATGAAGTAGTGGACTTGGCTTGTGCTCTGAAATTGGCCTTGGAGGAGTTATAGTAATAGTTTTCGAAGCAACTTGGCTCTCGGGTGTATTTGTTGTAGGCAGCTGACGTTCTAACCAGTTCCACCACCAGGGCGATCCACTGGATCGGATGTCCAGAGCCGTCTGAGCTGATTTAGGATTTGCTTTCCATAACTGATATAGCGTCAAAAAATCGATTTTTCATTACATTTACATTTAATTTCGCTCCTAATTCGGGCTAAAAAGGAAGTGTTCAGTGTTCCCATTGTACCTGGTGAGAATAGGCATAGGCCATACTTCTTTCTTTCTTAATGACAGCCTCCACCTTTTTCCGGATCCTCGCTTCCATTTCCTCTTTAGTTAGCAAGCTATCGTCCCAATCTTCATTTTGACCAGCCTTGGTCTAAAATATCAGCATATCAAATTGTTAGCCAAAACAACTACGATTGAGAGGCATGCAGCCATGATTAAGTAGAACTCACCAGCTGGTTCTGTGACCATTGGCTCAGGGTACTCTCCACATCGTTCTTGTAAGCTTGGCGTTGAAGTGCCGTGTTTTCTAGCATTTGAATCCTTCGTGATTGAATTTGTGTTTGAACCCGAACCAAGAGCTGCATTTGTTTCATCGCATTCATTGTTTGTCGCTTCACGTTTTGGCCTCTTACCACTCCTTGAAGCCTCACTAACACCCTCAAAGCTCCGAAGCTCCTCCTTGCCTACAGTATTAAAATCTCGAAGCTCAAATGAGATGCACGAGTCATTTGCATAGTTGAACACAAACAGTTTGATTAACATAAAAGTCACACTAGAATGTTTTCGTCAAATGAATAATATGACTTCAGTTAGAAGATTACCAGGTACCCTCTATATGCTGCCTGGATCTTAATAGCAGAAAGGTGCTGGTTTGCTGGAGTTGGTTCTCGCCTGTTAGCATAGCTAATTTCCTCACGCACTCGAGTTACCTTAGGAGAAGCAAATTTAGGAGAGGCAGCCCGTGGAGAAACCGCTTTAGGAGAAACAGGCCTCAAGGACGAAAACCTAGGAGAAGCAGTCCTTGGAGAAGCTACCTTCAGGGAGTGAAATTTACGTGAAGCAGCTCTAGGTGAAGCAACCCCGGGCGAGGAAGGCCTCCCTGGTACAAAAGTTGGTGTTATTGGTTGTTCAGAAGATGTAGTGTGCTTATTAAGCAGCTGATCTGCTTCCCCCAATATTTGCTCAATACTGCTTGGCTCCCGGAACAGGGGAATGAATGATTTCGTCTCTCCATGCTTTAATATTCCCCGTCCTTTCTTCTTTTCCTTAACGCTTTTCTTATTTGATTCCTGCAATAATTTGTAGTAGTTAGAAGATATTGTATGTACCATGGTTTTAAGACGGATTAAACTTACATTGGTGAGCTTCTCCTTTGAATTGAGTGTAAAAACCTTTTTGATGGCTGAAAACCAGCTTCCCTTTTTTCCCATGTTTCTAGCATTACTGATATTCTCTGGATATGCAGAAAATATTCGACTTTAGCATCATATTTGTATGATTGTTTAAGGAATTCCACTTTGAAATAAAGCTCGAAATGGAAGATATTGGATTAAATTTCTAGCCGAATACACTCTTTTACCAAGAAAAAAGATGATCTGATTATTAAAATTAACTGGGGATCATCTCAAATAATTTACACAGAGGACTGAATAAGAATGAAAGACACAAACGCCCAAACTTTTCTTAAATAAATTTTGCACGCGTACATGAAGAGACATGTTAAAAACGAAAAATACAAAAAGGGGTTCAACATGGGAATGATTCATGTGGTTAGTATAATCGGAATCATTCATGTAGCAGTTTAAAGTCACTAATCGATATTCGGGGAGAAAGATTGAACTTACTAACTCGAAGGAAAAACAAACATGCAGTAATTCAAGAGAGAAACAAGTGAAGTTTACTCACAGAAGAGGTAACCGAGAACTTTCCACCAAATATTAGTAAAGGAAAAAAAAATGCATATTTTACCAAATTTTACCTGCAAAAGTGGCACAAACACAAGAATCCTATGCATGAAGCTGAATACATTAAAAAGAAAGAAAAATTACCTGAACTATTTCTTCAACATTCGAAAGCCTTTCAAAAAGCTTCTTGATTTTTTGTGTGTTCTAAAAAAAAAAAAATCTGATTCTTGGCTCTAGAGTCTGGCCTTTATCTCCCCTACTACACCATAAAATTCTACTTCCCTTCGTCCTTTTTCATTTTTACAGTTTCTATCTGTTGGGTTGTGGGTATTGAATTTTGAATGTCTCTTGCTTGCAAAAGATTAATAACTTTTTATTTTAGGTGCTGGCCTTTTAGCTTTTATGTACTTATAATTTACTTATCTTTTGATATGATGATTGATGATGAAAGGTATATGTTATGTGAGAGGCAAGCACTCAATGGCTTTGGCCAACTTCAACTAACTTTACTTCAATGGCAAGACTATTTTGCACAGACATCTGAAAATTCCATTCTTCACCCACTTATTTTAAACAGCTGTTAGGTTGATCAGTTGAGTCTTTCTGTTTTTATTTTGATTATATTATCAATTTATCATTATTAATTAGGTTAGTGTGAAAATGATGTTTATTTGTTTAACAACAAAAAGTGAAGAATAAGGTGGCCACATAAATAGTGCTTTGATAAACGATATGGCAAGGGATAAAATTCCACATCGAATAAAAATGAAATCATAGACCAATTTATAAGGGTTTGGACTACTCCTCTTAATAAGATTGATCTTTTAAGATGAAACCTCAAATCTTAACATTTGTAGGGTATTTTAGGTTGGAAAGTAAATTGTAGAGGCTAGTCAAAAGTTTATAAAAAAGTATAAAATCCCACATGAAAATTCAAACTTATTGATTCGCTCATAAATGTCAAGTAATGGATAATATTGAGAGAAACTTCTCAAGAATTTCTATTATAATCAATATCAACGTAACGCCATTAAGTCCTTGCTTCAGCCTCATTTTTCTAAAAATTCATTTTTAACCATACATTCTCCAATAAAATAATATTACACTCAAATTCAAAACTTTTACATTTTCTATGAATTTACTATTTCAAAATACATTATTTCTCCAAAATGGGGCTCAAACAAGGGCTAAGGCTACCAATCCATATTTGAAGCAATAAAAAAAAAATCTGGATAACGACCGAATTCTAGATAATGGTGAAAATTAAATTTCTTAATATTCAGAAATAATAAATTCGAATTATTAAAAAAAATTATTCAAAAAAACCAAAAAACATGTTTACAAAACCCTAAAAGATGAAATTTGGTCGAAAATGGTCACTCCTAAAATTTATATATGTTGACGCTAATCCCACTTCCATAAAATCGCTATTTTTTTTGCATTCGAGATTGTACACAAAATCAGTAGAGTAGTTTTTCTTTTTTTTTTTTTCAAACTAGAGTTGTAGTGGAACCCAATCTAGTAACAATGTAGCATAGAATTATTAATCGTAATTTATTACAAGTTATTCGAGGGGTTCTAGGGAAGGCAAAAATTTAGGAATGGTTTAATTTTTCTTTCCCCTTTTTTCGCTATAAAGGGAAGCCAAAGGAGAGCTAAATTCCTGTGTGGTCCAGCCATATGGGCCATGTTTGTTGGGGGGTAATTAAGCTGTCTCAAATGTCAAATCTGCTTTTGACTGCACAAATAGCAAGGACTAGGGGCCTCTCTAACTACTCTATTACTTTCCTTCTAAACAAATTCATATTTTATATAAAAAAAAGATGAATCGCATTCTTAGCGGTCCCCACTTGCCCTGCTCTGAGCCTTGGTGAATGAGGTAAATCGCAGGTTATAGAGTTACCCCATATTTGACAATATATTAAAATTTAAATTTTGAAATAGTGATTTTTTGAGATTGTGTGGTTAAAAATGAGGAATTTTTTTTTTAAATTTACGTGCAAAATTTTTATTGTATGAATGTGTGGTTGAAAATAAGTTTAAGGCCCTGTTTGAGCCAAATTATTATAGAATGAGAATAAAAAATATAGTTGTTATTGGGGCCCACACAAAAGATAGAAAATTTGAATTTAAATGTTGATGTGATGGATAACGATCATATTTTTCATTTTAATGAGATAATAATGTCGATCAAACGGCGGCTAAGAAAAAAAAGAGTTTTGATTTCATATATGCCAAACTATCTTAGAATTGCATTTTCTTACTCCATATTAAGCAAAAAAAATTAGTCGATCTCGATAAGTTTATACTCTTCGCTTTCTGTATATTCCTATGAGTTCATGCCAAACCCTCCACTAAATTTGATGGTATAATAAAAGTAGTACGTGCTATTAATGTTGCGTGTTCTCATTTATTTGAGTCTTAGATACGACTAATTTCTTTAAAACAATGTAAATAACATAGTATCAACAAGTGAAGATAAAAAAAAAGAATGTAAAAACTATTCCATCTTCCCATTAACTTTTGGTTAGATGATACAGACATCCTATCTAAATGTCACAAACATACGATGGAATTAATGTAGGTAGCTAATGATAGATACAATCATGTGTAAATTGCTTATTGTGACAGTCACAATTAAAATTAATTATTTTAGAAGGAAACCAATCTTGAGGAATTAAAAAATATATATTGTTGATATTATTTAATTCCTCTACTAACCACTTGTGAAAAATATATGTGGGACCTAGAATATACCAAACCCTGGTGGTTAGGTTAATATTGTTGAATGAATAGTGCTACTCAAACAGGGTTTAGAAACAGGGGCGATGACAAGTGCTGTGTAGTTAGTGATGGCAATCGAGCCGAGCGGCTCGTCGGC